TATTTGATAGAAAAATGGTATTCATGTTGGTCACTTAAATGATTTCTTACTACTTCCATCCAATTTCTTTTCGGTCTGCCCTAGCTCTTCTAGCCCTTTTCAGTCCATTTCATTCTGTTCAGTGCTTCTTTCATTTCTACTTGACTCAAATTACACTCTGAGTATTTCTCCTTTCAAAACCTTGATTTTCTGCATCTGGTCCCATTTTACATTAACAAAGAATGCTTAGGGCTGTTTGATAATTGCTGAATCAGATGAACTGAATTACTTATTGGTTTGTTTTTCAGTGGATAAAATAATTGTATAGTGAAATATATGGGGGTAAAATAATCATCTTGACATGCTATTCAGCAGTTGAGAAACTTGCAACTTAATTGATTATTTACTAAAAGAAAAAAGTGATAAGAAATTCAGTTCAGCCAATTCAGCCATTATCAAATGTCTTGGAGGTGGTCAACCTAGAGTGTAGGATTTCTTGATTGTAACATGGGAACTTCTGGGTCAGGCAGCAATGCTTGCCTAAACATCTATTCCTAATTATGTTCATTCTTTTTCTTTGATTCAATATGTTCATTCTTTTTCACATGTTAATAAAATTACATAGTTAATAATAAAAAAAAGTACATAGTCTTTTTTCTGATAATTGAAGAGGAATTTTATTAAGACAATATGAGAACTGTTACAATCATCTTACTGAGAGGCACGAGGTGCGACCTCCCTTAAAGAGTGAAAATCACATAGCACTATAAATCAAGATTACAAGGTAGCCCAGTACAAATGTTTCTTCAAAACCCCATGTTTAGCAGGATAATCTGATATAGCGTTTGCAGACCTACCAACCCACTGTATACTAAAATTCATGTTTCTCAATAACCAGCTGGCCTTCTTTGAGAGGTTCTTGTAGCACCAAATGACTGAGCTCGGATCTGTTAACCAACCTACAACAATCTTGGAGTCACCTTCAATTTGAAGGTTCTTAACACCAAGTTGATTAGCAATCTGAATACCTTGTAAAGCTGCCGACAACTCAGCCCTATTTGAGTCTCCTATTCCACTGGACCCGAGTACAAGGCTAAGATATTTGTTTTTTTGATCAGCAAGAAATTTTATTAATAAAGTAGCAAAGGTTACAATCAGTTACAAAAGTTATAGGTAGCCGAAAAGCATTAATCTAATCTGCACCCACAAACAATCAGTTACAGTTCTGCCCAGTACAATGTAGATCTATTTGCCCCTTGTTTTGCTAGGGTATCCGCCATCCCATTTGCGCTCCATTTGACCCAAYCAAACTGAGAGTTGATCCTCCTTGTAAGTATGTCAATTTCTCTGAAGATAAATTTGAGCTTCCAAGGTACTGAAGTGATGTTTTTAGCCCAAGAAATGACCAGTGGTGAATCTCCTTCTATTTCTAAGTCTGTTATTCCTATATGCTCAGCCATCTTTAGACCTTGAAGTAGGGCTAGAGATTCAGCCTGTATTGAGTCACCAATACCTATTGGTCCTGAGAAGAGTGCCACCACCACACCCTGATGATTTCTAATCACACCCCCTATGCCTGCCTTTCCTGGGTTACCAAAAGAACTCCCATCAAAATTTAGTTTTGGTTTGTTCAGTGCCGGTGGCTTCCATTCCTCACTCACAATTACTTTGGGTGCATCTGTTAGTGCTACTTCAACCCAACTTCTTAAAATCTCGTTCGTGGAGAAATTTTTGAATAGCTCCATGGTCTTCACCCAATGTGCAGCTCTGATTTTTATGGCTTCAATCACTTCCTCCTTTGATTTACTCTTTTTAGAGAAAATTCTTAGGTTTCTTTCCTCCCATACAATCCATACTGTAGCTGCTCTTGCTGCCTTCCATAAGCATTTTCCTCTTTTCTTCTGTTGTCTCAGGAAGGAGGGGCTGAAAAGACTTACCACATCTTGTGGGGGAGCCCATCTGCATCCAAAGAGAGAACAAACAACATTCCAAATATCAGAAACAAAGGAGCAAGATAAAAGTAAATGGGGTAGGGTTTCACCACAATCCAAACAAAGGACACACACATGAGGAGAGAGGCATTTATTTGGCCTCCTTTTCTGTAGCACATCACAAGTGCTTACCTTCCCTAAGAACACTTCCCAATAGAAAGCTTATACTTTTGGAGGGATCGGTTTACACCATATTTCTTTCACAGGGAAGTTCACCCCGATAGGGTCCTAGTGAGTGAGCAAACCAAAGAAAGATGCACAAGAAAATAGACCATCAGGAGTTGGGGACCAAACTCTACTATCAGCTATAGATTGGTCTAAGTAGACCCTCTCAAGTGTTGAGATTAAAAGCACTAGAGACTCACATTCATTTTCCCTCAACCCTCTTCTGAACCCAAAATCCCAAGAGATACCAAAGTCCGAGAGCAAACCAAACCTAGCAACAGGTTTGTTTTTAAGGTTTGGTAAAGAGTAGAGATCCGGGAATTTAACCATAAGAGGCATATCCCCAGCCCAAAGGTCTTCCCAGAATAAAACTTTATTGCCACATCCAACATCAAATCTGATTAGAAGAAAGGTTGGTAATACCTCATAAATTGCCTTCCAGGGAGAGTTTGGAGCTGCATTGGAGGCTAGTTTTGCATCCCAGCTGTTAACTGCTTCACCATGAATGCTTTTAATGACCCTGTGCCACAACCTATCTTCTTCACAAGGGAATCTCCACAGCCATTTCCCTAGAAGGGCCTTATTTTTCTTTAATAAGTTCCTTATACCTAGGCCACCATGCTCCTTAGGGTAACAAACTTGCTCCCACTTCAGTACAAGGCTAGATATTACCATCCTTATCTCTCAAAATCCCTCCTATACCTGAGGGGCTAGGGTTGCCTTGACTACTTCCATCAAAATTCAGTTTTACGCAACCTTCTAGTGGCGGAGTCCATACTATAGAAGTCCTTTCCTTCTCGAGGGAGCTATTAGCCACCTCTAGCCAGTTCCTTCTAAAGTCATCAGAGGAGAACAAATGGAAAAAATTTGAAGTTTTCGACCAATGAATTGCCCTTGTTAAGATACACTCTTTGATATTCGGGAGGCTTCGTTCCTTTTCTTGAAAAATTCTTGCATTTCTTTCCTCCCATATTGTCCAAAGTGCGGCTGCTTTGATACATTTCCACATAATCCTTCCTCTTTTTGTGGGCCATACAAAAACCGATAGGTCGAAAAGCAGACTTACATTAGTGGGTAAATTCCACCTACAACGAAATAAGGCAAAAATCCAATCCCAAATAGCAACAACAAAGGAGTAGGAAATTAGTAAGTGGAAGCGATCCTCACCATTAGCTTTGCAAAGAATACACCAGCTAGGGGACAAGCACATAAAAGGCTTCATTTTTTGTAGGCAGTCAAGAGTATTGATTTTCCCATAAAACACTTCCCAACAAAACAGGATAATTTTGGGAGGAATAAGCTTAGCCCAAAGCTCCTTTATTGGGAAAACCGACTGAGGGGAGGAAGAACAAAGGGCTTTCAAAAAGGAGACACAAGAAAAGGAGCCTTTTGGGTGGGGGGACCAAATCCTCTTGTCTGACTGTAAAGGATCCAAACAGACATTATCAAGAATCAAAAGAAGTTGAGAAACATCACCAAGTTCAGCATCCCTCAAGCCCCGACGGAAGCCAAAATCCCAATTTAACGACAAAGGCAAAAGGGGGGAGGGAAGGAAATTAGAGACAACCTTATTCTTAAACAAGGAAATAGAGTAAAGAGAAGGGAAAAGGTCTTTTAAGGTTGAATTTCCCACCCAGACATCTTCCCAAAAGAGAACAGAATTCCCTGAGCAAACATCATACCTAGCAAAATTAAGAAATTGGGGAAGGATGCTATGAATCGCTTTCCAAGGAGTTGTCAAAGTAGCCTGTCGAGAAACACCAGCATCCCAGCCATTATTTGAGTGACAACAACCATGAATACTAGCTATCACCTCATGCCACAACCTCCTTCTTTCCAAGGGTCATCTCCACAGCTACTTACCTAACAAAGCTGTATTCTTCAAGATCAAATTTCCTATCCCCAATCCACCTTCTTCCTTACTTCTACACACTATATCCCACCTTATTAAGTGATCCTTCTTCTCTTCCCCTGGCTCCCATAGGAAATTCCTCATTAGCTTCTCTAATTTCTTTGCCTCCCTAGAGGGGATTCTAAAAGTAGAGAGATAATAAATTGGCAAGTTAGCTAGGGTGGCTCTTAACAACGTTACTCTACCTCCTAGAGAGATATAGTTCTTTTTCGAAGTAGCTAATCTTTTTTCAAATCTCTCTAGGATTGGAGTCCAAAAATTGCTTTCCTTCGGGTTAGCACCTAAAGGGAGCCCAAGGTAAGACAGAGGCCAAGAAGCCACATGACAATTTAAGCACTCAGCAACAGACTCAATGACCCCTTCATCCAAATTTATTCCCACTATACAGCTCTTATCAAAGTTTATTTTTAGGTTAGAAACACTTTCAAAGTAACTTATCAAGCTCTTTAGATTCCTCACTCTCCGTAGGTTGCCCCCTTCATTGGAGATGATGATATCATCCGCAAATTGGAGATGGGTAACCGGGACATTATTCCTACCTATCCTCCAACTTTTTTTTTTTTACTTTGTAAAACAAGTACATAGTTAATAATCATTTTTCTATTGATAAAAATTTAGATAGTTTATAATAAAAAAAGAAACCCTAATAGTTTGGGAAACTATTTAAAGTTCAAATATTGTACTGTTGCTGAGTTGTTTGTGGATGTTAGCTCAGTATTCGTTCTCAGAAATGTATCTTTTTTTTCCTATCAGTAAAATTTTTATTTTACTGTTAAAATGATATATACTTTTCAGAGAATAATATATCCAAATCTATGAGCAAATAACTTGTTCATCTATGCCTGTACACCTTATTTTTGGATTTGTTTTCATTAATTAGTGATCAGAATTATTTCTTTTACTGAAAGTATAAATGGTAAAAAATGTAAGCCGTTTGATGTATGATATTCCAGATGGCAGAATTTTTCAATAAGAAGTCAGGTATATCAGGTCGTACTCCTCTTGGATGCTTTAATTCCATGTTCAATTTCACTGGTTCTTGGCAAGTTGATGCAGCAGCTACAAAAACTCTTGCCATGGTTGGATACTTTATTCCCTTGTTTACAGTTAAACTGGCAAAGTCAGATTTAGTTTTGCATGAGGAAATCAAGCATGCTGTTCCACACACTTGGGATCCCGCATCCTTGGCAAGGTAAATAATTAAACCTAATCCTTATCTTGTTAGATTTGCACGAGTAACCTGAATGTCATGATAAATTTCACTGAGATATTTGGAAAATCTAAAGAAATCAAGAAAAATTTTTAGAAACATGTAATTTGTTAAAATTTCATAAAATTGTTAGGAAAAGTATGATTGCACATTTGAGGCTCAAAAAAACATATCAAATAACTGTGTATATCATATAAGAAAAGATTAAAAAACTTAGATAGTATCTCTTTTTGTTTCCCTTTTAGTCTTTTAGTCATCTTCTTTTCTTTTCTTATGTCATATACTTTATCTTGACTTCTCAGCTTTATTGAAAATTTTGGTACCCATGTCATTACATCTGCAACAATTGGTGGTAGAGATGTAGTTTATGTCAAGCAGCACCAGTCATCTCCTTTGTCAGCGTCAGAAATCAACAACTACCTGATAGATATTGGGAATCAAAGATTTGACTCAGAAAGTCAGCTCAGTGCTGTTCCAGCCAGATTCAAGGTAAGGCTAGTTTTATTGTTACACCACCTCTTTGATGCTTCTATTGCATTCAGATATGCAGCAATGCATAATTGGAGGCTGTATTCTAATGATGTTAACTTTTGAGTATCTCCAAATATCAGGTTCTGGATCCATCTCTTTTCAACAGCCGAGAAATACACCCTCAGCTTTCTACTGTTCCATCTATAAGTGGGAAAGAGGTAAGTAATTATAGTTTCATTGTTCATTTGTTTCTCTTGGCTTAATATTGATATTGAAATACTGAACCAGTAATAGACATTAAAAATCAACTGATCTATTATTTACAAATATAATCTTCATAAATTATTATGCATTTTCTGGAAAATGATTTGCGTTTCCTGATAACTTGTGAGACATAAGAGTTGGTAATTTGAGTTGATTGAATAATCGAAAATATTGAAAGTCATCTTAAGTTGATAGGGATTTTGTTTGGGGACGCTTGCTCTTCCAGGGTAGAGATTGTAAGTTTTATGATGGGCTATACCAAAGGACCTGGCAGGTCCTATAGGGATCGTACCTTAATCACTATTTAATATTTAGATTAATAAAATCTTCATCTGACCTATAAACAGAAAAAAAAAGTGAATTTAGTAAAGGAATCAGAGGTTTGTGGGAGGGGCGGTCTGACATCCGTCTCATGTCATAATTTTTCCACTTTCTCTATAGTATTAGCATAACCTTTTGGTTGTCATTGTTCAAAAAAGGAGGAAGAAATAATTTAGAAAAGACTTGCTTTCTTATTTTAATGATAAAAAAGTTGTTGTTTTCTTGCTGTTTGCATGTGCACACTTGGTGCATCTCTCCTTGCTGTTGCATCCTGAAGAAGAAATTTTAGAAAGAATTGTTGTTTTCTTATTATGTGTGTTATTTTGTGTTATCAAATGTCTGCAAACATTCTTTGATCGGTAACAATTAAGAAGTTTATTATTTGCTTAAAAAAGTAGAAGTTACATAATTTGGTACAGAATTGTGTTTGGCACCCCAAATAAGTAGCTTTGACTAACTACTTTTTTTCTTTCCTTTACAAATCTCTCTCTCCCCCCCCTCCCCCCCCAGGGGGTTAACTTGAAGTCTCGAACACATCTGATTTCTGTTCGCCCCTTGTTTTGCAAGTCTCTGGTATGCCATTGGCTGAATGTGGTGTCCATTTATAATTTATCATCAACTCCAAGGCTAGCTTCTTTGTCTAAAGGCATGTCTATGTTCTCAAGAGCCAAATTGGTCCCTCTTCAGCCATTCTATGATTACATGCGAGTTCCCTTCAATTAAACTGTCTTTGTAGTTTTAGGGTTTTGCAATCCTTTAACCATGTAAGACTGCCCATAGTTCTGCAAGGATTGTGCCACACTCACCTGGACCAGTTGGCCCAGAGTATACAGCTAAGATGTTCCCTTTCAAATTTCTGAAAACTCACCCCAACTCCATAACGATCTGGGTTCCCTGTCTATAACCATCAAAGTTCATTTTCCTAATGTTTTGGGAGGGGGACTCCATGGATAGAAGGCTTACTCTTTGTTACCATGGATGAGGTCCCATTTTACCAATTTCTTAATATAGTGGTGAATGAAGTGAAAGCATCACTCTTAGTCACCCAGCACACCACCTTGATAATGGTGTTCTCTCTTGTGGCTTCTCTGCTCAGCTTCTCCTTGAAAATTCTTGCATTTCTTTCCTTATGATCTCCATAGGATTTTTCCTGTATATACTTTTTCCCCATTTTGAAGATGAAGAAAAAAAAAGTTAGTGCATCTCTCCTTACCTTTGCATCCTGTACAAATCAATAGGAAATGATGAATCATTTAAATTTATCCATTGTAAGTATACATTTTTAACAAGTAAACACTTTTTGGGCACTTTGGTTTGGTGTTCTCGTTTTTAGGATACATTAGGATCTGGAGGTAGGATATTGTGGAGATGTCTACTAGGACATGCTGTAGTTTTGTGTATGTTGGCCAATGCTGGCCATTTCAGGCCTGTTTACAGGTTGGAACCAAATAAATAGAAAAAAGAAAAAGAAAAGAAACCAAAAACCTATAAAACAAGGATTGACATGGTTCGGCAAGATGCCTATGTCCATGGGAGAAGAAGATCAAAATAAGTCCACTAAATTAGGTGGGGATCACAATGAAATAAAATCCCAACAAGAATGCCAAAGAGAAATTCTTTCCCCAAGAACAATGTTTTCCCCATGATGCAACTTTCTTTCTTCCAAGAGATGCTCTTCTAACATCTCACAAAGGGATTGCCACACCAAAACACCAAAAATCTGATATACAAGATTTGAACTGTGTAGAACCCCTAAACCTATAATGGGGAACACCCCATGGACTGAAGTGTCATGAAAAAAGCATATATTTATAGATTTAGGTCCTATTTCCCTAGTACAACAAGAAAATCCAAAATAATGGTAGTATTAGTTTCCAAACAGGAAACTGCCCAAAAGACCTACAACATGCCTTGAGTTCAAGGCACTATTCCCACAAGGATTTGTCTTTCTAAGGTGTGCTCCCAAGTTCCAATACAAAGCGTTCATCTAATTTCCATTCTTTTCAAAGTCTATTAGCATGGGGATTATCTGACCTTCTGGCCCATTCAAATTTGCTGTTCATTGGGACTGCTGTAGCTCTAGCCTCTCTCATATAGGTAGGGGTGTCAATCGGACCGGATTTGGTCCAGTCCAATCCGATCCAACGTTGGTCCATTTACAAATGGACTGGACCAAATCCAGTCCAAATCTATACAAACTGGATTGGATCCAGTCCAATTGAAATGCAAATGGATTGGATTGGGTCCAATCTGGTCCAAACTAAATGAAAATTCAAAAATTACTTGAAAACCCAGAAAATGTGAATAAGTTACAGAAATATATTAAATTTTGTCACAAAAATATATAAAAAAAAATTACTGTATCAACCATATGTTCCAGGTAGAAATTACTGTATCTAATCAACATTCCTTTCAAAGAAATTACTGTATCTGATCAACAAGACCATGTTCCTCACTCCTCTTCAACCATATGTTTTGCCTCCTTTTCTGTTATGTTGTTGGGTCTTGCCTGCTGAGATAGATCAGATTGATTTTTTTTGCACTTCTAATCTTTTTTTTTTCACTGTTAATGGATTCTTATCTCCTCTGATATTTCCACTGATAAAAAATGATTAAGCATTGCACATATTGCCCATCCCTGGCTCTTCAGCCTAATTAATAGTGATGAGACAAAAGATATCAGAGTGAATAATCTGCCTGGGGGTTGTTTTGTGAAGTTTTTTTTTTTTTAACCTTTATTAACTCAAAAATGGTAAATGAGAATGATAGTGAATGACAGGTTTGAAGTTTTACTGTGAGTGACAGGGTTGAAGTTGCAAGAGATGATTAGGGGGCTCATAGTTTAACATTTGGAAGTAAAAGATCTATTGTTTTCTTACAGAGTGTCCTGAATAACCATTCTAGTTTCCCGATCAAAAAACTTTCTAGTCCAAATAATAACCATTATAGTTTCCTGAATTCTAGTTCATTGAATTCCATTTACTTACAATTCCAAGAAAATTCTAAAACTCAAATGGTTAAGCACATAATCTGCCACAAGCTTAAGATACAAATTATTATTACTATTACTATATTATTTTTGCCAAATCAAAACTTCAAAAGCGTATAAGTGAACAATATAACTGATAGTACTCAATCTTCAGTCCTCCATTTACCACCAATAAAAAATAAGTACACACTAAACAAACCATTGGTCCCAAGTTCTTTGGATAAATTTGTTCGGAGAAAACAACAAACAAGTCTCATTGGTATTGAACCATTTGTAGCTTTGCAAGACTTAAGGTCAGTAAACAAGTTAGCCTTTTCCTTTTAGGCTAACACAATTACCTTATAATTTGTTGTCATGGTTGAAAAAACATTGAGTTAAAAAAAGTACCATATGAATGGCATGAGGTGGTGGCAAGCATTCATGGTTGTGCAGGAAATGGTTGGGATTCCGGGATATCTTGCCGAGCTACCCTTACTACACCTTGGAAGGCTATACATGGTATTTTCCCTCGCTTCCTCAGATTCATCAGGTATGATGCTTGTTTTGGTAATGCTATTCTGTTCTGGGAGGATATTTGGGTGGGTACTCAACCCCTCAAAGATTGTTTCCCCTCGCTCTATTCCATTTCCCTTCACAAACATGAGCCAATTGCAACTTTTCTCCCGAGCCCGTTAAACCCCTTATCTTTAAACTVGGACTTTGGRTTTCGTAGAGGGTTAAGGGATGGTGAGTCGARTTGTGTTATTGAGCTAATTCATTTACTAGAATCCGTTTGCTTGGACCCCACTTCTTCTGATCAAAGGGTTTGGACTCCTCTTCCAAAAGGTAYTTTTACTTGCTCTTCTTTTCTAAAATCCCTCAGTTCTAACTCCATTTCCCAAGGATTCCCTGTCAAAGAAGTCTGGGCGCGACCTATTCCCCCAAAAGTTACTGTATTCTGCTGGGAAGTCTTCTATGGGAAAATCAATACTTTGGAAAACTTACAGAAAAAGAGACCCTCGCTTTGTCTTTCCCCAAATTGGTGTTCCTTGTGTAAGGTCGAGAATGAGGACTGTTTCCATTTGCTGATCTTCTGTTCCTTTGCTACAGCCATATGGAGGTGGAGCCTTTGTTTATTTGGAGGTAGGTGGTCTATGCCTTCTGATTTAAGCTTGTTATTCAACCCATCTGTCTTTGTTTGGCAACTAGAAGAGGTAAGATCATGTGAAAATGTGTCAGGGCAGTCACTCTGTGGACTCTTTGGGAGGAAAGGAATGCAAGAATTTTCTTAGAGAAGGAAAGAGGGTTAGATGAAATGAAGGATTGTATCCTAACAAGAG